TTGTGGGTTTAGGTGCAGAAGTCCAAGTCTCAGACCTTCCCATGACTGTGCCCCCCAAGCCGCACCCTGTAGCCTGCAACTCTGAACTTAATCTGAATGGTCAGGGTGCGCCAGGCCTCCCATGGCCCAGGACAGTGCTGACAGTCAGCATGGCTTGGCATCATCTCCATCCAGCTGGTCTGCCAGAAGTAGAGTCTGGCCAAAAAAAAAAAAAAGGCGGGGGAGGGGAAGGGAGAAAAGAAAAAGGCAAGGGAGTTTCTCTCCAGTAGCTGAAACAGTCCCTGTGGTAGCTGAAGTTGCTTCTCTTGTGCTGTGTTGGTCTCCTGACCAATCCCGCAGTGCTTGCTGGGTTCTTATTCAAACCAGTTTCCTCTCAATTCAGCTGGAGCTCCCTTTGGCAGAGGTCTGCAGGAACTGCCTTTCAAAGTTAGGAGAGAATTTGCAGAAGGAAACAATTCAAGTGGTTGAGTAAGTGGGGAAAACTCTTAAGAAGTCCTCAAAATGTCATACCCTGATTTTGCAAGGTCATGTGCACTCTTCTGTTCTCTGTAAAGTTAAACATGTTATAACATTTTTTGCTGGGCTGGGGCCATTACTATGAAACTGTTCTAGATGTTACTGCAAGTGTCTGGCATGAGTAGTGTTCAAGTCCCCTTGACTTTGCCTCGACAAACAGGCCATTGAGAAAACCCATTCCCTGGCGAACGGGAAGGCTTGCTGCTATTGAGTTACGTCCTTCTGCCAGGAGACAGCTGGTGCAAAAGCATCCTCTGGCAAGCAAGAAACCTGAGGCTGAACTCGGACCTAACTGGACTTGGTGCTAACATCTCGTGTGAGTGAAGTCACTGCTGGTCGTATGGTTGTTACTTGGTTTTCGTTCAGGTGGAATCATGATGTGTCATAACTGGTTGAAGCTTGAGATTCACCAGAGAAAGATGTTTTTACTGTAAAACCATGGCTTGAATAAAGCTCTTTGCAGCTGGGGGAGCAAGGGAACAACCACAAAACCCAAAAATCCAATTGCCTTTCATAAATTTTTAATGTAGTTGAAAATAGGTTCTATAGCACACTTGGATCCGCCCTCCCCCCCAGTATTATTATGTTCTTGTGTTCAGCTTCATGCTGCTATCCAACATTTGGTTTCCCACCAGCAATACAGTGCAGGCATATCATGCCTTGAATTCCATATTGAAGCACAACGAAGTCGAAAAATACAGGTTTTCAAAGCAGGCTTCCAGCACCAAGAAGTATTTATGGAGGGTTGGTCGAAAGATGAATAAAAGGTCCCAGTAGGACTGGGCTGCACTCTGACCAAACAACACCGCTGCAGATCCGAATAGACCTTGGCATGTCCCTGGGTAAGCACACATCTTCCCCTAGCTAACAAAAGCACCACTTCTTGAGCTGTGATTTTTTTCCAAGCGTCACTGTCGGGGTTATGAAGAGCTGGCAGAAGGGGAGGTGGAGAAGATGACTTTGCCCTCTGCCCACCGAGTCCCGGAGGTTCCTCCTGCCCCCATCACCGGCTCCATGGGCTTGGCGTCCCACTGGGGCACAGGTCTGGGGAGCTGCCTGACGCAAAACATGCCTACTGCACGTTTGGACATATGGGTGCTATGCTTGGGGCATGCTTAGGATGTGGATGAGCCACCTTCCATGCTTCCCTGCAATTTCATGTGTTGAGGTATGACTGTTTTCTCTGGATGCAGCAGTAATCTAGCACTCAAAGCCCTGGCTCCCAGATTTCTCCAGGCAATGCTTGGTCCTTTAAACTCTTTCTTCTTGTTTTGTTCTCAGGGCCTTGCTATGACTGTTTTTGTGCAGTTTGGTGCCAGTCAGCTCCACCTCCCCCCGCCTCTCTCTTGCAGATTCACAAACCCTCTTAAAACGCGAGCTGGCAAAAATCCTCCGCCCGTGTGTGTCAAACGTGTGCCTTTGTTTGGGTGATGACATGTGCCTGTACTTGCTGATGGTGTTTTAGCTGCTTGGTTCTGTAAGCAGTGTCAATGTCTCCTCCGACGATCCCTGGAGAA